CTGTTTACCCAGGATTAGTTTAGAGGTTAGGGTGCCACTGAGTGAGGCTGTGGACTGGGGAGCTTAGGCTGTTGTGTACAAACATTGGTGTATTTTCTTTAAAAGAGTCACAAGAGTGAAATTATTTTCTCCTTCATTAAGTCTGTATTTTTAAAATTAGTCTATGTATCTTACCACTTTCCCTTTAATTTCGCTCATGGACATGACCCGTGCTGATATTCAAGAAATAGTTCCTTTATTTAACATTTGGAAACTTTCTCATTAAAAAAGGGTACTGATAATTCAGTTCTTCATTCTTCATTTCTCTAAGCTGTATACCTAACCTGTCTCTTGCACTTTTTTTTAAAGTCATATTTGTGGCAGAGTCCCAAGTACTTTGGTCATCTTCTGCTGCCTTCCCAGAGGCATCAGCTGGAAGCTGGATCAGAAACAAGGAGGCTGGGACTCTGACCTGTATTCTGAGATGCATGCCCGTGTCCAAAGCACCAGCTGCACCATTGCACCACAATGTCAGCCCCACGACTTGTTCTTTATCTTTCATCACATTGTTAACTTTTATGTAGCATTTAGAACTGAACATAATGTTTAGTATCTGTTAAAGTGATCATCTTATGTTGTATGCATATAATCTCTGGGAGTATATACTCACAGCGTCTTGATTATGCTTCATGCAAGTATAACTACTAGAACATAATGAACTTATAATCGACGAGACTGAAGTTTTGTTTTGGCTTGGATTTGTATTAGCAGCTCTGTTTTCTTCAACTGTGGTTTTTAAAATTCTATTTAATGTTTTGCTTTACGAAGATCCTGCCTTAAAGTGATTTCCAAGTCTAAATCTTTAATTATAGCTAGAAATCTAGATCTACATATGCAAATGTTTCCTTCAGTGCCATAATATGGAAGTCCAAAGCGAATCTAAAATCTTTATATGGACTGAAACAGTGGAAAGCGTTGCTTTCTACTTTCCTACCTACTTCCCTCCCTTAATTACTTAGTCCCTGATGCCTCACTCTTCATCATAGTTTCCATGATTTTTTTTTTTGGTGTTGTGTAACCCATATAGTGATGCTTTAGAAAGTTCATGGATTCATAAAGTTCAATTTACTTTTGTTCTAAAAACCCTCAAATCTACTCATACAAGTGATGCCTGGAAACTCTATGAAAATTGCATGCCCCGATAAACTGTGCATGGATTTTGAAACTTTTGCACAAAAATACTTTTATCTTTAATACTATTTTTTTGAAATTTAAATTCCTTCATATCTTGCATCACCAAATCCTGTTGATATCACCTATAAAATATCCTAAACCTCTCCTGTCTTTTCCCCCATCTCTATAACCTCTCTCCAAACCGCATCTCCTGTTTGATCTCATGATGATGGTTCCCTCCTCAAACTCATCACCTTGTATCCACTTCGGGCCTTGAAACCCCACTTGCCATAAAGCTTTGTAAGTTATCTTTTGAAGTTTAGGTGGAGTTTTATCTCTCATTTGTTAGAAACAATGCCCTTCATGATCTGCCTTCTGATTTATTCTCCGATCCCATTTCCTGTGTTAATTACTGAGCTATAATCCTTGGCCATCTTCCTTTTCTTTCCAGAGCACAGCTGTCTTTCACATCAGCTCTTTCCTCTGTAGAAGCCATCCCCTAAACTTCTACAAATGTCACCTCTTTGGAGAAGGCTTTCTTCAATGACCAATCCAAAGCAGTTATTTGATTGATAGTAAATTACTCCTATTTTTGTGTCACTTTATTTGCATGCTTTTCCTTTCATCAAAGTGTATTATAAGTTCCACTGATGTTTGTTCACCTGTCTTATTTCCCTGAGACTGAGGCCACTGCTTTCCCAAGCCCATCATGATGTCATTAACTACTTGGCAAATGAATTTGATTTGATTTGAGTTTGATTGTATATTGCCACAATTTGAAGTGCAGTTGACATTTCATTCCTGTCTCCTTGAATAATAGCAGTGTTACTGATTTCAGTTTCACCTATAAATCTAATAAGGAATTCTGAATCCTTCTGTCTTTGCCAATAATGAGCTATTGATCTGAGCAATAGCATGTGGATCCGTTAGGGATGTCATTCAGTATGGTTACCTCAGGCCACTTCGAAAGAACTAATCATCAAAAAAGAATTGCTCTGAGGCCAGCGTTGTGACATGGTGAGTTAGGCAACAGGTGCCTAGGACCATGGCCTCCACCATCAGCGGGGGTTTGAATTTCAACAAGTTCACTTCTGATCCACCTGTCAGAATTACTCTTACAAATGACAATTTCTAAAAATAAAGTTTCCTAATATTGTAATTATTTTGGAGTTGCTTTAAAGAGTTTGGCTTTTCTTTTTCTTTTTTTTTTTTCTGTGCTTAATAACTGTTTTAACCTGTAGGTGTCAAGTGTTAGACATGATTGGTGTCAGAAAATCATACTAGTGGCACAGTCCTGGGTTTCTGAGTGACACCTTTGCTATCAAAGAGAGCCACTCAGGATTTGTCCCTCGGCCTGGCTCTGGAGACGTGAGCAGGGCTTTTGATTATGTCTGTCATCCTTGGACTAGAGTTGTTGTACATGGACCTTGCCTATCTAGACATTGGGTTTTCTCCTATTTTTCTTTCAAGAGACAGAGCTCTTCCATCTGCTGGTTGACTCCTCAAATGGCCACAGTGGCCAAGCCATGTCAGGCCTAAGCCAGGAGCAAGGAACTCAATCCAGGTCTCCCAGTGGTGGCAGGGGTCTAAGTATGTGAACCGTCTTTGGCTACTTTCCCAAGCACATAAGCAGGGTGCTGGATCAAAAGTGGTACAGCCAGGACTCAGATGATTTCTTGAAATCACTGTGGTGGCTTAAGTCAATGGGCAACAACACTGGTCTCTATTTTCTTACCCTAGTCATATGCTAATCCCATTTTCTCTCTATCCCTTGAGTCCCTGCTTCCTGTGTGAAACAACTTCATAATGCTGGCAGCTGCTCTTCTAGAACTGGGCTTGGTGTTACTCTGTAGTTTCTGCTTATTCCTGGAAGGCTGGAAATGTTTTCTGTGTCTGCTCTATGGTGTCTGATCATCCCTTTAGGCAGTAGGGGTGACTATCAAGTGCCCTGCTGATAATGACAGTGGCAGGAAAGCTCCTTTTCCGCACGGTGCAGGTGGAACTCACTATAATTTGCTGATGAAGCTCATAGCTGACTTGTGTTGATGAGATCTGGAGGGAGCGAGATCTTCAACTCACTTTACCTTGTATCTATCCATTCACCCATTTGCCAGTGACACACACACACTGAACGCTAATGCTTCCTTACTTGTTGGACGTAGCAGAGTTGACCTGTTACCAGTCATGGTGTGCTCTGAAAAAGTGATAGTTATTTTAGGAAGATAAGGGAGATGTGTTTTGCTTTCACTCTTGGAATGAAAAATCTTTTGTACAAATATTAATTCATGTCTGTTCAGCTAATTTAGCTTTTAGCCTACTAAAAGGCTGAAACGACCGGATGCTTAGACAATAAAAGCTTTCTTGGTAACTACTTGTTATTTGGACATGGATCTAAATACATCATATCTACAAAATTGTTATCTGAGAGAATGGCTAACTAGGTAAAGAGATTCATATTTTTATCATTGTTTTTAATCTGTGTATTGAGGAAGAGGGGATTAGGAAGACAGGATAACAGAAACAGAGACATAGAGACAAAAAAATGAGAAACAGTGCAGATTGGCTAGTTACAGTCAGCTCACACAGGCAAGCTTATAGTTGCCAATATAAATTATGCTTGAAAGCATCATTGGATTAAGTGAAGATTCTTCATTACTTTGTACTTTTGTCGTCCCTTTTTTATTTAGCATTATGTACTGCCAATCATGTGCCAAGTTTTTGCTAAGGATTGGGAAAATAAATGTAAGTGGTATGAATGTTGGACTCTAGAAGTTCAGTTTCGTGTTAGAGCAACCTTACATTCATAAGAAAAAGTTATCATTTTCCAATAAAGGGGTGTATAGGGTGTGAAGGAGGCATTCCAAGAATAAAACATGTATTTTCCCTAAACCTTTAGAGTTAATCAAGTTGAATTAAGGTATTCAAGATTATTTAAGAAGTCATTAGTCAGAACTATGATAGGAAAATGCCTAGATATGGCGGGAATTTATAAAAGGGATTTCTAATTCTAAACCGTGATGATACAGAAGAATTAAGAATCACCCAGGAAAAGGATCACAGAGCAGGAGAAACCTAAAGTTGATTTAGGGGAAAGGAGACCTCAGAGAAAACTTGTGAGAACTTGGAGTTTGGGCTGTTGCCCTCCTAAACCAAGGGGCTCATAGGTACCTGATTATCTCAAGAAAAAGGAAGAAAGTAGGCACTCAGATTTGCTCAAATCACCTATGCTGTAAGCATTTATTGTAGGAGTTACAGCTTCTGTAACCGCAAGGGACCAGGCCTTCCTCTTACCCTTGGACAAAAGATGGAACAGTACTGCTCAGAATGTCTCACACACCCCATGATCATCCCTAAGGGCCTCTTAAAGTGGCAGTAGCAAGGGGAAATGATCCCAACATCCATTCTGAACAAATAGGAAATTGCTTTTTCTGAGGCTTGATCTGAAAGAGACAAACATAGCCCTGTGCACAGGGCACACCCTGCACTACTCAATTTGGCTGCATCAAAAACTCCAAAGGCCCCATTGATTGTGCTGTAAATTGGATCTCAGGTTCCATTCTGAGTACTTGAAACCTGATACTCCACCCTCTAAGCCCTCCTTCTTAGGTTGTTGATTCTGATATGTGGAAATAGCTCTGCAGTTCTGGTGCTGCCTCTGCCTGTGCCAGGAAATGCCGTTTTGATCAGGTCTCATAAGAAGATGGAGAGATGGTAAAGATCAATGCTTATTGATAATCCAAACTGCCAGAGAGGAAGATACAGAGGAGAAATTAATAACCTGAAAAGTGGTTGCAAAACTGTGGCTTTATTTTTCAGCTGTCTCTTCCATGTATTTGCTTCCAACCCAGGGTGAGTTTTGATGAAGGCCACTCATGGGACAAGTATGCTTTCACCTCGGTTCCTCTCTTTGTCGACGGGGCGCTGGTGGAAGCAGGAATGGAAACCCACATCATGACGTGAGTACTTCCCCGAATGAACAGAGGCCTGTGGTCTATATCACTGAGGTCTCACATCCCCACACCACACAACCCAGGAACTCGATTCCAGACCATTTCTTTGAGTCAAAATCCCTTAATCTAGAAATTGCGAATGTTTATGCTTGTACCCCCCAGCTCAAAAGCCCCTGGCAGATTAGAGGTGGTAGGCTCCTAACTGAACACTGAAGGTTTCTAATGGAATTGACGGTGTCATAGTAAATTACTGTTTATCTGAAATCCAGAGAATCTGAGAGCTGCAGGCTGTAGATGTGTTTTTTTCTCTTTCCACACCAGACCAGTAAGAGGAAAAGGGATAGAATACAGGGATAAAACAACTAATACGTGCATACTATAAGAAATGTTTTAATAGGAGATGGTAGGTTTAGTCTCTCTCTCTCTCTCTCTTTCTCTCTTTCTCTCTCAAACATGCATTCTATAGGAAATGTTTTAATAGGAAATTGTGGGTTCAATCTCTATTCTCATTCTCTCTGCTTCTTCCACCCTCCCTCCCTCCCTTCTCACGCACATATGCATATACTCTCTCTCAGTGTTATTGCACTTCAGATTAAAATACTATGAAAAAGTTTCCACACTTCTGTACAATGAGTTTAGATTGATACAGATCTTCAGGTTTTCAAAAACCTTGAAGTACTTTCTGAAAAGGAAAGAAAAATAACATGATACTATTTCCAGAAAACATTTCAACTTTTGATCCCTTAACACATGTGTCTGCATGTCCACATAGGATGGGGTGATGGTAGTCCTGTGAACCCAGAAACCACCCCTCCCTTCTCAATTGACAGGAACGCCTTGGCCTGTAAGTCTTTCCTGGAGTGACGGGACAATTGGGCAAGATTAAGGAGTGTTTGCACACTGTGGGATTGTCAGAATTGCTCAGGGCATGTCTTATCGGCTCAGGATAAGGATACGATCTGCTTGTTCTTAGGGACACTGCTCTTCTCTCAGCCTTTGTGCTAATTGATTTCTTGACAATTTGAACAAGCCCTATCCTAATCCACAACGATGGACTTGGAAGAGGGCCCGATCGTTGGGAAAATGTCTACTTCTATGCTTTCCCTTCTCTGCAGTTGTACCTATGGAATTTTGGTCAAACTGTTGATCTTGCTCCAGACTGAACTGCTTTACTGCAGTCCTGCCCCTGTTCTGTGCTCACAGCCACAGAGCTGACTGACTGTTCTTCTTCCTGTTCAGAATGACAAAAGGAACACCCTGCTATAAGGAGAAAAGTTGAGGGTGAAGAGGAAAGCCAATCTGATTACAGAACTGGGCACCTAGACTTGCAAAATGGCTCCCTACACTACAGTCCCTTGTGAAAGCCTCTTCAGGAACTAGCCATTCTGGACTTCCTTCATTCGTCAAGCTGTATCTTCTTTCTTCTAGAATGCTTTAATTCTAAGTCCTTGCCTTTTTAAGAAGCACAGTAGAAATGCTGTAAAATCGAACCTCCTAGGGCCTTGTCAATAGGATTTCTACAAAGCTTGAAGATTCCCTGTGTCCTTGCTAATGCAAAGTTCCTTACAGAAAAATGTGGGAGGCTCTATTGAACGTATGTCTTTAAAATCACTTGGGACAAGTGTTGAAATTCCTTTCATTCCCCGTCATTCTTCCAAATTGCTAGTGGATTCTTTCTTACCCCAAGGAGGGTGGTAGACTGTGGTTTTTTAAAAAAATGCATATTGTTTGATTTGAAAGGCAGAGATGGAGTTTCAGAGATAGTCCATGCACTGGCTTATACCTCAAGTGCCACAACAGTTAGGACTGGGTCACACCCAAGTCAGCACTCAGCATTCTAGCCACGTTTCCCTTGGAGGGGACAGGGAACACTCATCTGCTGCCTCTCAGGGTATACCTTAGCAGGAAGCTGGGTCTGATGCAGCGCAGCCAGGACTAGGACTAGGCTGTGCATTATAGGACATGGGAGTCCTGGCTGGTGACTTAACTGCTCTGCCAAATACCCACCCCTGACTTAAGCATCTCCATTATGTATGGCAAGATAGCAAACCCAAGAATGAGAACTATAAGCTACCAAAGGAGTATATGAGATTGGTAACCGATGTGTTATGTAAAAACTTGTGTTGTAGCTATATTTCCTAAGTTCTTTCTTCAAATGACAGCCAGGATTTCCCTTAAAATTGTTGCTCAATAAAGTAATACTTTAAATTCTGCCCAGTAATTTCTTCAGCCCTCTAAAATATGCCCCTAAGGTATCAGATCATTTTGTTAATTAAGGATTAACCACACATTAGTAAATCTACGGGCACACACCATACCCATCTCATAACCTGATTTATCCCAGATCTCTGCAGGCAGCCTGTTTATTCTACTGGAAGCTTCAGCCTGGCCTCACTTTGAACAATACCACATGTGTACCAGTCTCTGTGTAACCAGGTATTCTCTAGCAAATTTAAGACTGCAGTTTATTTGCTGTGTTCATCTACTCTTAAATGGTTATAATTTTTTCTCTGCTTCAGATGGAGGTTAGCTAATCACGTGGACTTGAGTGAGCCTGACCTCAGGGCCAAACCAGTTATAGAAAAGATGAGATAGAACCAACTGACTCCACAAGGGCTCCGCAGTTTCCCTACCTCCTCTCGCTTCTCATCAGATCTTCCAAAGAACAGAGCATACTGAGTTTCTCATAGGGGTCTGGGAAAAGAAGTTTTTGTCTTATAAAGAAAGTAAAGTGACTCTAGGAAACATTTATGAGAACAAGTATCAATGATTCAGGTTACCTTAAGTTTTTATAAAAGTTGGGGCCTGTCTTGTGGGAAACCGGCATGGGGCTTGTGAAAAGTTGCATAGACAGTAAAAGGGAAAACCCAAAAGGGCTGCCAGGGTGTGATTTCTGCCTCTGTCCAAGGTTTGAAAAGACGTTGAAGCCAAGTGGCCTATCAGGACTGACCAGTGTTTGTCCCTATTAGAATAGTAACGGCAACAATTGTAGCAAGAGTTCAAATATTTACGTATTACATAGGAAATACGGAAGGAAGGGGAGTTAATTGAAGAACAAGAATGTGTAGTCTTGGCATGGGTCTGAAAATTTAGTAAGTATGCTGCTGGAATTCTAGACATTACCATTCATTCTGACTCTTGAGCTTAGCTACCATCAGGAGGAAAGAGAGATTGCATTAAGGTTCTACTACCCTATCTTGATCCCTTGACTTCTTTGAACAGGTCATCCAATTAAACATATGTGATAAGCTTCTCTGTATCAGTAAATCTTTGTGGTGTTATAAAGGTAAAGAGAATTCATTCTGCTGAAGTAGCTCTCAGGAGAGCTAGGTGGGGGTGGTGAGGATATCGAGGAACTCCAGTCAAATAGCCGGAGGGAAAAAGCAGGGAAGTGAAGTCTTCACACCTGCAGTGGGTGACAATTGAGTTGATCTGGAAGTTTGAATAGCAGTTCGCCAGTGGAAAAACAACTTATAAGCAGCATGATGTAAGTTCCAAGAAAGAAGCAGAGCTGTTTGGCTGTTACATTCACTAATGCAAACTCAGTTCCTGAAGTGGGAGTTGATGTGATGGAGGAAGGAAATAATTAGCTGTTGAATGAAGAGTGAATCAAGGTAAAGCAGAAAACAGAACCAGGCAAGAGGTGCCTGCGAACATCTCTGGGTATGATGGTGATGCTATAAAGAGTGTCGGTATGCTTAGGAATTTGGTCTGTTTGATGTTTGACATCAAATCATTGAAGGTTTTTCATTGTCATTGGCATAGACTTAAAACCCACTGAATGACTCACAAGTGTCTATACTGACCACCCGTCTCAGACCTGGATGCTGACTCCCTCCATCTAACCACCCTTCTCCGTTACAATGGTTCTGTCCAGACCCAGCATCTTTACCTTCGTGTTCCATCCCCATTTCCAAGAAACAAACTCATAAGTGATCTTCAGGTCTCAGCCCAAGGATCAGCTCTTAGAGCCAACCTTCCTGCAGGTAACCTGTTAGATTGGATTCACAAATTTCTTACTGCCTCAGCCCTGTAGTGTTTTCCTAGACAACCTTTTAGATAATAAACATTCATGGAAATGGCACTCATTATTTCAAACCATTTTCCTCCATGCTCATGAAGAAAGGCGATAGATACACATACATGCTTGCACACATACATACAAAAATTAGGGAGGCTCTTGGTGTATCCTCTTTGCTACATATCTACCGGGACTGTGCTAACATGGAGGATTTAACGCTATATAAGCATTAGAATGAATTGTTGGACGTTTGATTAAGTGAATGAATTGCAAGAGTCTTAGCTGTGTTGTGATTGTTATGATTTCTTTGCTCTCCTGACTCCCGATTGTAGTGTTTTAGTGAGCTCATAATGGATCCCCAGAGATTCTGAAGTGCAGTTATCAGAATCCAGGAAGTTGGGGAGTTGGGTGAGAATGGGAGTAGGCTATGTTTCCACGCAGAGATCTGCATACAGTACGTCCGCAGCACAGGGGCAGAACAGCCTCTGGGCAAGAAAATGAAGCTAGACAGTGAGGGCCCTCCTGGGAGTGCTTTATGATTTCCTCCTCCCAGGGGATCAGCCCAGCTTCACGCTGCGGCTCTGAGTGGGTGCGTGTGTCACACGTGAGCACAAGCACAGCTGGGACAAAGAGATCCCAGCTTGGAGACCAGAGATTTGCTTACTTTTATTGCTCTTTTTTCTTCTGTCTTTTCAAATGTTATTATTTCAGCATCTCCCTGGTAACCTTGACAGAAGCTATCTAGTGTAGCCCAATTCAGAATGAAATGTGACTCGTATTATTACTTAAGGCTGGGGACAGGACTGGATGACTGACAAGCTGATGGTCCTATGCAGTCTTAACCCCTGGCTTTCCTGCCGATGAGATGCCTGCAGCTATTAGAACACTGGGGCTTTTGGTTCACAGTTTCTTAAAAGGTTATTTACCCCCAGAATAGCACTGTAAGAAGAGTCTCCTCCTCTGTTTAACTGGCTCGCTTCAAGTG